AGGGATTAGGGTTTAGATCCTCGCCTCCCCCCGGCTCCATGGCGAGCGACGCGCAAGAGCCGGCCAAGCGCGCCGAGATCTACACCTACGACGCGAACTGGCCGATCTACGCCATGAACTGGAGCGTGCGCAAGGACTCGCAATTCCGGCTGGGGATTGGCAGCTTTGTTGAGGATTACAGGAACACGGTCCAGATTGTGCAGCTGGACGACGAGAAGAACAAATTCGTGGCGGATTCCCGGCTGTGCTTCGAGCACCCCTACCCGACCACCAAGCTCATGTTCATCCCGGACAAGGAGTGCCAGCGGCCGGATCTAGTGGCGACCTCGGGCGATTTCCTGCGGATATGGCAAGTCGGGGAGGACAAGGTGGAGCTCAAGAGCTTGCTCAACAACAACAAGAACAGTGAGTTTTGCGCGCCGCTCACTTCCTTCGACTGGAACGAGCTCGAGCCCAAGCGCGTAGGAACGTCGAGCATCGACACTACTTGCACGATTTGGGATATAGAGAAGGAAGTGGTGGACACTCAGCTCATCGCCCATGACAAGGAAGTGAACGACATCGCCTGGGGCGGAGTCGGGGTCTTCGCGTCCGTCTCGGCCGATGGCTCCGTGCGAGTTTTCGATCTCCGGGACAAGGAGCACTCGACGATCATCTACGAGAGCCCCCAGCCGGACACGCCGCTGCTGAGACTCGGGTGGAACAAGCAGGATCCGCGCTACATGGCCACCATTTTCATGGACAGCGTCAAGGTGGTGATCTTGGACATCCGCCTGCCGACGCTCCCGGTGGCGGAGCTCCAGCGGCACCAGGGGACCGTGAACGCCATCGCTTGGGCTCCTCACAGTTCCTGTCATATTTGCACCGCGGGTGACGACTCCCAGGCGCTGATCTGGGATTTGTCAAACATGAGCCAGCCGATAGACGGGGGCCTGGATCCGATTCTAGCTTACACCGCGAAGGCCGAGATCAACCAGCTGCAGTGGTCGTCCTCTCAAACAGACTGGGTCGCCATCGCGTTTGCGAGCAAGCTAGAGATTCTTCGAGTCTGAGAGGGGAGAGAAGAGGTGAATCGTCCAGCTGCTGTAGTAGAGTATAAGAAGCAAAGGTATGCTGGTTTTTTTCTCTCTTTTCTGTTTAGCATGGGATTTTGCTGCTCGCCCAGTTGAGCCCCTTGACGGGGAGCCGGATGAGAATCATAGCAAAGTTGGCGATTGCTAAGCAGAAAGCACAGGATGGGCAGACGCAAGCGACCAAGTTCCTGGAAGAACAAGGAAGAAAAAAAAGAGATCTCATCTCAAAGAATAGTTTTTTTTTTTGTTTTTTGAGCAAAGCTTACCCGATCAACCATACAAACATTCCCACCAGGGATAGCAAACATCCCAAAGCTCCAAGTATTCCTCCCACAATGCAGGCGACTGGACCCATGAAGCTTCTTTTGTGTCGTTGGCGTGAGAAGTGGAAACTACCAGTCCACGTCAGCCGTCCGCGTGGCCGCCACGGCAGACGTTATCTTTGTCCGACGTGGCAGGCGCGCGGTCCGTGCGGTGGACGTGCGGCTGGTAATCATCCAGCCGCGCGGTTTGCTGCGCAGTAGCACACGTGGTTTGCTATTTGATACAAGAGCCCTAAAAATCAATCGCTCGCGGGAGAGAAGCTGGGTTATGGCGGCGTGTGATTTCGGCCCCGGTATGTCGATTGGATCTCTCTAGGCGCTCCTTGGTTGCTTCGCTCGACTACAATGCCTCTGGTTGCGAATTCGCTGTCTGCGCCTTCGATTTGCGGTGCCCAATTCCAGCGCCAAGCCTGCTCGCCATCGACCTCATCGGCATCGACAGTGGCATGCTCTTCACGGCACAAAATCTCATCCAGAACAGTGCCGTCGATCACGTCTCAGCCTCGCCGCCGCAGGGCAGGGCTCGCAATCTGCGAGATTGCGGTGGGGCGGCAGGGCGCAGCGGCGGCGGCGGCGGCAGCGGCGGGCGTGGGATCGAGGATCAGAGTGAAAGGGCCGCTCAAGGTGTTCCATGTTCCCAAGAATCCAGAGTTTGATCTCGGGGGCCAGGAGGGAGAGGTGAAAGAGGTTCTCACGAGCTGGAAGGGGAAGATCATCTCCGCGAATTTGCCATACAAGACCCAGTTTGCGCTGAGCATCGACGGCAAGGAGGTGAAGCTGATCGCCCATCTGCGGGAGGACGAATTCGAGGTCATCGGATGATTGAGAGAGATCGAAGCGAAGAATTTGTGAGCGAATTCTTTTTGCGTCTCGTTTGAAATAATATCCAACGACAAGAATGTAGGGTTCTTGTTCTTAGGGCTCTTGTTTTGTTGATCGATGGCGCTCGCTGCGGCTTCCAGAGCTGGAGACTTGGATAATCTCTGCGTGCTGTTGAAGGTACTGGCAGATCGATTCGCAGATCGATAGAATTTGTGTGATTTCTAGGCCGGTGCCGATCCGAATGCGAGAGATAAACGAGGGAAGACTGCGCTTCACGAGGTGCTGCTGCTGATTTCGACGGCCGATCGATCGGATTTTCTTGCAGGCTTGCTCGCAAGGGCATGACAAATGCGTGGAGGCGCTCTTGAGAGCGGGAGCATTGGTATCGGCGCACAAGACAAATGGATTTACGCCTCTTCACTACGCCGCCGCTACTGGTCGAGCTTCGATCATCTCTATTCTTCTTGCCAGGTATGTGATTCCAATCTTTCTTTTCAGCCTCCTAGCTAGTTTATCTAGTTTTGGTTTCAGTGGAGCAAACGCTTGCGATCGCGATCACAAGGGCGAGCAAGCAATCCACCTCGCAGCTCGGGGTGGATTTGTTCCGGCAGTGGAAATTCTTCTCGCTCATGGTGCTTCTGGCAACGCAGCAAGTAACAATGGTCGCACCAGGTACTTTCAAGGTTCTCTTGGTGGTGGTTTTTCACGAAAGAAAAGAAACTCACCGTTTCTTGCTAGTGAAGGCTAGCAGTGTTCATACGGCGTCTCTCCATGGACACGAACTTGTTCTGCGGCTTCTCTTATCGTCCGGAGCTGATCCGGCAGCCTGCGACACTGGAGGCTCTCAACCCATTCATGATGCTGCTGCCGGTGGCCACGTCGGTTGCATGGAGCTCCTGACGCATTTGGGAGCGGATCCAAATGCCAGTGATTGCGCGGGCTGTACTCCTTTGCATCGGGGTTCATCCGCTGGCGAGGTTGACGCTGCTCGATGGCTACTTAAGGTATGAATCGAGAACTTCACAAAGAGCTTTTCTTCTCAATCTATATGTTTTTGGTTTTGTAGCAGAAGGGTGTTGATGCGAACTGTCGAGACAACATCGGATCGACTCCTTTGTACTGGGCTGCGAGCCGTGGACGTGCCGATGTTGTGGCTCTTTTGATCCGCGAAGGCAATGCTGATCCCTCCGCGCCAAATGCACACCGATCTCCACTTCATGTTGCGGCAGGCAAGCCTTTCTAACTTTCTATCCTCCATGAGTCATCAGTGTTGTGGATCTCCCCAGGCTGGAGGCATTTGAGTGTCTGCGATGAGCTACTCAAGGCCGGAGCTGATCCATTGGCAGTCGACAGGGAGGGACTCACTGTTCTTCAAGTTGCCAAGACTGACGACGTTGCGAAACTTCTTGACGAGGTATTCCTTCATTTTTGTCAAAGTTTTCCTATCGCAGTTCGGCAGGAACTGGTTGCGTCGAGATCTTGAGCGCCGAGCTGTGCCTTTCCAGAGGAGCTTGTCTATTTTCTCACTCACGAAGTGGAGGGCTGAGAGTTTTAAGTCTGGACGACACCAATATGATCTGTGGGGCTTAAGTCTTCTCAGGTACGCAACGCAATATCTAGGCAAAGTGCGCCACCCATTGAGAAAAGTCAAACTCTTTTCAAGAGATCGAAGGAGCAAACGGGCAAAAGTCTTTACACAAGCCAATGATTTCTAAACAGCCTCTAACGATCGAAGAGACAAGGTTTTTTAAATGAGTAAATGGATGGAACGAAAGGCTGGCCTTTGCAATCCGACTAGAGATTAACAATTGTCTCATTTGCAACTCTATCAACTTAAATCTTTGTCCAAATGACGGTCATAGGGGTCGTCCCGCATGTAAAAAACAGGACACGCAAGCCCTAGAAATGATTCTTGGGTGAGCAACCAACGGTCGGCTCACTGACAGCTGTCAGGCGTCCCCACGTCAGAGGAACGGTCATAAAAGAATTTGACCACCGGTGATGACGGAATATGCTCCAACGGTTCCTTCAAGCTGGAGCTGAATATTCCCCTCGACATACTTCTAATTTTTATGTTCTCCGTGTGGCTCTCTGGCCGGCGCGTCTTTAGGCTAATTTTTGCTTTCGTCTTCCTTCTTGCGCTTTGATTGATGATCTTTTTGGCGCCTTCGCGTGTCCCGGGGGATTATCCGCCGCCGCGATTCTTGGCCACGGGAGGATAGGCGGAGCTGCCGCGATCGCGATCCAGGCGCAGGTTTTCTCTGGGGAAATCTCCATTGCGATTCCGCAGGATGTCGACGAAAGATCTCGACAGGGAGCAAATGAGCTCCGCATCGGAAAAGAGGGCTTCCGTGTATGCGGGCTGGATCTACCATGTCGGGAGTAACTCCATGGGGTACCAGTTTTGCAATCCGCGGTACCTCGTGATCAAGGGGAAGTATGTGGAGATGTATAAGCGCGATCCCAATGATTTTCCCAGCAAGGTAGATGGATTGCATATTTTTTTGCTATAGAATTAATGTTTTTTGGTGGCCAGAAACCGATTAGAAGGGGCGTGGCTGGGAAATTTACAATGGTGAAGGAAATTGGGAGGCAGATTTTCCATGGCCGGGTAAGGAAAGAAGCTTTCAAAGTTCGTCGGCTTGAAACTTCGTTGTGAAAACAGGTCCTTTATGTGCTTAAGATCTATAGTCGAGTTGACCATGGCAAACATGGTGAAGTAAGTTTTCTTTTCTCTTTTTCGACGTCTTGTGCGAGCTCAACTGAGTTCTTTCTTTCAGATTGCTTGCACCAGCGCTGAGGAAGTCGAAAAATGGATGTCAGCATTCCGTCACGCCAAAGAGGAGGTATGTCAAGAAGGTTCATCTGAATCTTTAGTTCATCGATGTGTTTTGAGCAGGCGGAGTATGTATCGAACAAGCTAAGCTTCATAAACAATGAGACAGAGTAAGCATTGATTGATGCTCTTCTACGATCTCTAAGAGCGGAGGATTTTTTCTCAGGTTTAACGTAAACGGGCCACGATACCACTCTAAATCGTATCTGAGCAAACTTATTTACATTGGACGAGGTAGCTTTTGTTGTTTTGAAAGGAATCAATCTCATCATGGTTTCTGTAGGTCCCGAGTCCTTGCTGCGCCGCCCCTCGATGGTCGCACAGGATCCTCTGCCAGCAGTTTCGTACACTAAGCAAGCTGGTGATGCTGTAGAGCAGACTGATTGGAGATGCTTTCGCACCGTAAACGGTACGTACAGGTCTTAACCAAATCATTTGTGTAAGCCCTTAAAAAATGTATTCTTTCTGTCTCCAGGCTTGAGAATCTTTGAAGACATCAAGGTAGGTTGTATACAACCGGCTCTATCGAGAATGAACTGTTTTTTATTTTGCGTTTGTGCCGCAGTCCGAGAACGGGGCCATAATGAAATCTGTTGGCGTAGTCGAAGCAACGCCAGAAATGATATTCGAGATGATCATGACTCTGGATATTTCTTTGAGGCATCAGTAAGTCTTTGAATTCAATTGCTCTTTCTTTTAAGCCAAGTTGAACCTGCTTATCAGGTGGGACACCTTGACTGGGCAATTGGAGCTTGTGGAGCACATAGATGGGCATACGGACATTGTGTACGGGACGTTTGATCCTAAATACTTCAAGAGGTCGGTTTGTTTTTTTCCAAATCGTAAGTTGCAAAAACGTGTTTTTCTCGTTTTAAAGGTGGAGCAGCCTCTTTAGCTATAAAAGATATTATGTGTTCTCTCGCTATTGGCGTCGGCATCAGGACGGCTCTTACTGTATATATTTTTACCATCTGTCTATGCTTATTCTAATTGCTACGCGTGTTTTGCAGACATTACACAGATGGAAGTTTCTCACAAAGGGGCTCCTCGTAAGCCCGGGTACAGAAAAATCACACTTAATCGTAAGAAGAGATTTTCAGCTTTACTTGACATTCGTGTGGTTTCTTTAGCTGGAGTGTGGGAGATTACTCCCCTCCCATCGAAACCAGGAACTGGGACTCCAAGGTCCCTTGTCACCCAGATCATGGAGATTAAGTCTACCGGCTGGGGCCGCTGGAAGAAAAGCCACTACTCCAAGTTCCACGCGACGGTTCCATATGCAATGCTATGTCGCACGGCAGGTTTGTCTAAATACATGTTGGCAGCTCATCATCGTTGCTTTTTCTGCAGGATTAAGAGAGTACTTCTCCGCAGAAGCCCTGCACGGGGTAGAAGAGCGCCTGGTTACAAAGAGCATCGTTAACCACGATGAATCTACTTGCGAGACAACAAGACTTTCGCAGGTTGAAACCAACGAAGAGTTTTATGACGCTATTACGGCAGGAGATCCAGCCGATGAGGACGACGATGACAGTGAAGAAGAGGAGAAGAAACCGCTGAATAAGGTCCGCATCACCAGACGCAAGAAATATAGGATTACTTTACCACATTGAAGGCCTTCTATATGCCTGCTGTCATCTTTCGTGCAGGTGCGAATGCTGGTCATGTGATGCATTTCATATTCTTGCTTTCTCTTTTGGATTTTCATAATCTTTTGGTTGGAAGTTTCTGATCTGCTGGTGATGTGTAGACAGGATCACACAAGCTTCGAAGGGTTACGTGGGGAGTCATGCTGTTATCTAAACGGCCTCCAGGTTTGAAGCTAGGCTATACTTCAAAGCTTTCCGGATTACTTACTGAGGTTTCAGCTCCCGGGGACAATGGAGAACTTATGTTGGGCTGCTCAGCCATGGAAATAAATATGAAGCTCTTCAAGAGCACTCTTCGCCATCAAAGTTCTGAAAAAGATCAAAACTGCTGGTGCGATCCTGGTGGTCAAGGATTTATGGTTAGAGGGAAGACGTACATGAAAGATTACTTGAAGGTCCGGTTCTTGTATCGTTTTTAGTCACTCACTCACACTACTTTCAGGTGCCTGGAGGAGATCCTCTTTTAAAACTTCTAACAGTCGACTGGCTAAAGTCAGACGATAAGATTGGTGCAATTGCAAAGCATCCGGCGTCTATTGTCCAGGTTTGTTTGATGCTCATTTTTCTTGGGTTCCAATTTATACTCTTGTTCTTTTGTCAGACCCCGGCCGGGAAAGCATTGCCATTCATCTTTGTAGTTAATCTACAGGTATTTCTGCTTTTAGGTGGCAGTTTTTTTCTGCCTAACCGAAAGGAGCATTTTATGAGCAGGTTCCGGCTAAACCGAACTACAGCCTTGTGTTCTATTATGCTGCCGACAGACCAATTCGGCCCGGTTCTCTCCTGGATAAATTTGCGAACGGAGACGACGCATTCAGAAATGCACGGTTCAAACTGATTCCTAGCATTGTAGAGGTAAAATAACACTAGTTAACGTTTTGGTTTTGTTCACATCTTGTATCTATACAGGGGTATTGGGTTGTGAAGCGAGCCGTGGGTACAAAGGCCTGCTTGCTTGGACGAGCCGTGACTTGTCATTACATCCGCGAAGACAATTATTTTGAGGTAAGGATTCATACCAATGCTGCTGAAAACTCATTGCTACTCTGCCAGATTGACGTAGACATAGGATCATCGTCTGTTGCGCGAGGAGTGATTGGATTGGTTCTGGGTTACGTGACAAACATCGTTGTGGATCTTGCTGTCTTGATTGAGGTATGTGAAAGAGAGAGCATACTCTGGAATGGAGATTAATATCGTCTTCGTTCCAGGCCAAAGAAGAGAGTGAACTGCCGGAGTATCTCTTGGGCACAACAAGGATAAACCGCATTGTGCCAGAGGATGCCAAGGCGTACGAGACACCCTTAAATCTTTGTTCAAGGCAGTCACTACCCATGTGACAAAAAAGCATGGTCTGTGGATACAAAATTTTGGTAGACACGACACGACTTGGTCCTGTGCATAATTCTATGCGGTTTGTAAAGAATTCATTTATAAAGTCTTTTACACGTTTGTTCCGGAAAGGTGGCAAGGCTAGCTCTGCATGACCCTCCGCTGGAATTCGATTGGATGACAATGGCTATGTTGAGCACTTACCTGAAATTCAAATAAGTTAGTCCAGTCGTTAAATAGAATTTACCTTTTTAAATGCAAAACCCACCTAGTATTAATATAGCCGATCTGTTTGCAAGAATGTGTGCCATTGTCTCGTCTTGTTGCACCTATCATCTCTTCCAGTGTTTCAATCCTAGAGTTTATTGCTGAAGAGTTTTGAGATAGTCTTGTTCGTTTCCATCATCAACGAACAGTAATATGTTGGTATCCTGCTAAACGCAACTACAGTCAGTTATATCCTATCTAGAAACCGATCCCACCTTGTCTCGCTTTACTAGTCATAACCACAGTTCGGGTGGAGAGATCTATAATCCTACCAAAAAACCATGAGGTAGAATCAGCTACAGATTCGCTCAGATAGTTTCTTACCTCTTCCCAGTTGCCAAGTAGTATCAGCTCTTCTCTCGTTGTTACCTGCATTCACAGCATCTTGCGACATCAACACCTGAATTTCTGCGATCATCAGACATAACTACAATCAAATTAGGAGAGAAAAAAATTTAACCTGCCCATACGTGATCAAAATGGTAGGTGTTTTCCGAGTAATGACCTCCATGCTGCAAGCAGACACAACAGCGTCAGAGAGAAAGAAACAAACAAAGATCATCCGATCGTATTCCAAGGGATATTTCTCACTTCCCAAGCTCACCAAAACTAAAAAGGGGAAGCACTTGCCATGGCTATACATATTGACTATCTTCAAACCTGCTACTCGCTCGAACAGGCTTAATGCTGACATTGTAAATCAAATCAACAGTCACAAGAGGCGAGCCAAATTACTGCTTAGTACCTGGTCAAAAAAGTGGCTGCAGAAATAGTAGCCCGCTAGTCCAAAGAGTCGTGGCAAATGACGCTTAACTTGAGAGTCCATCCCATCTTTAAGAAGTGTGGCTAGATCCTCCTCGGTTGCATCATCGAATGATGCCGACACCACCGCAGCACCTTCAACTGTCTTTCTGCTCTGCTGGAGGGCGCAAATCCCACGTTCAAGCCGAACCATTTTATATAAAAGCTTGGTGCTTTTCGAAAAGCTGAGGAAAAAAACAAGTTACTAGAAATCAAAACAGAGAACTCAGTTACCTTGGCAGAGTCGGATATTCAAATTTTCCGGGGTACAGCTTCCGGCTTCTTGTCACCTCAACAAGGAAAAAGCGAACATCACTGACAATGTAAAACGAAGAAAAGGTAATCAGCCAGAAAGAGTTTCATAGTTTATTAGCTTTGACCCACAAGGTGAAAATTTAGATCGACCTCAGCAGCTTCAGGCACTTCTCTCTTGATGTGGTTCCCTTTGCTGTCCTTTCCTTTCAAGCATTTTAGACCCAGCCTCTTAATCTCGATCGAAGAAGAGCACGCAAACTTTGCAGATCTAATTGGGTGTACAATGCTGTAATGAAACAAAAAAACAATTAATCAATACTTTCAAAAGCACGATTTTTTTACCTTAGTGCTGGAAACTTTTGAAGTAATAAAGGTGAATCTATCACCTTTGTTGCAAACTTGGATATTGTAGTCTATCCATCTTCGCTGAGAGCAAATCAATCCTGCTTGGGAGGTCTTGCTTTTGCATACCAAGAACAATGGCATTTATGCTCTTGATCTAGTCATGAGTTTCCCACGACATCCAGAAGGAGATTTTGAGTAAATACCCTGCCAACAAGAATTAAAAAAAAAAAAGAGTAAAAAGGAAAAAACAACTTACATCGTGCGCATTGCGAGGCATGGGAGAAATGCCAGCCTCAGGTAGCCAAAGTGATGGTTGCTGCTCCGGCCTGCAGAGAAGAAACAAAGCACGAATCAATGAATGGAACAAAAGCTTAGTTCAAAATTAACTTACCTGTCCGATGTTGCAGGAAACTCTGGAGCAGGTGCTGGCGGTGGCTGCTCAGGCCTGAAACGAACAAGAGAGCGAACCCTAGGCCAACCTCCCAACCCTTAAGGCGTTACGGCCTTAAATCCCACAAGCCATGGAATATTCTCGGAATATTCCCGTGGTTCGTGTCATTTTCCCCTCCCTCATGACCCAGCCACATACGGTAGCCTCGAGAAGCTAAACGAGCCTCAAATGAAGGGAGTCCAAGGCAATACGGCCATGGAGAAAAGATGTGCAAACGGCAACACCAACGTCGCAACAAACAGTCACGAAAGAAAGAAAGCAATACGGCTTTCTCACATGACAATACGGTCATGGAAAACAAGAGAATGAGAATAGAACAAACGGCTCAAATCATATAGCAATACGGTTATAGAACTCAATTCTCCCCTTCCTCAGGAATGTCATCCAAGTCATAACCAAAACTCGGAAACACTCTCTTCACGTCATCCTCCGTTTCCCATGTAGCTTCGTCCATGGAATAACCATTCCACTGAACTAACAACTCCCTAGTTGTCTTTCGGCGTGTTTTCACCAATCTTTGAGCAAGAATATTGGCTGGACCAGCCTTCTCTGCATCAATCTCTGGAACCTGGATGATGGACTGATCCACGATATCACCAGAGTGCAAACACGCTTTAAGCTTGCTCACATGGAACGTTGGATGAATCTTCGAACTAACTGGCAAGTCCAAAGTGTATGCAAGATCCCCTACACGCTGTAAAATTGTCCAAGGTCCACAATACCGTGGAGACAACTTAGCACTGCCACCGCCTTTTAATCCTTTTAGAGACCGTTGTGCATCCGACAGCTTAAGGAAAACCTTGTCACCAACTTTGTACTCTTGATGACGACGATGCTCATCAGCCAATCTTTTGTCTCGTTCTTGAGCTTGCCTCATGTTCAATTTTGCCAACTCAAGCTTGTCTTGCATATCCTCCAGGAAATCACAAGCATGAGGAACCCGAACCAAAGCCAAATTCAAACTCACAGGAGACCTAGGCTCATAACCATACATCGCCATAAAAGGAGACATGCCAATAGCCAATTGATGAGCGCTATTGTGAGCAAACTGAAGCAAAGGCAAGTATTTTTCCCATACTCCCTGTCGAGTCAAGTTTCCCACAAAAGACCGTAGCATATCTTCTAATAGCTGATTCATGCGCTCTGTCTGCCCATCAGATTGTGGATGCTCACCACTACTCATGCTCAGTTTAGTCTCTAGTTTTTCAAAGACCGTTTGCCAAAACTTGGACGTGAACTTAGGATCCCGATCACTCACAATGTCACCCGGCAAACCATAGAGACTGAATAACCGGTCTACAAACAACTGAGCAAGTTCAGAAGCTTTTATCGTTGTCTTCACAGGAAGCTTTTATCGTTGTCTTCACAGGGAAGAAGTGAGCCATCTTCGTCAAACGATCCACAACAACCCAAATAGCATCATTTCCTCGAAAGGTTTTGGGCAAACCAGTGATAAAGTCCATATCCCACTTATTCTCGGGTACACGTAAAGGATGATAGAGGCCAGCGAGCTTCTGATGATCAACTTTGACCGCCTGGCAGGTCAAACAACCACGTACGTACTTCTCAACATCTGACTTCATCCCAGGCCAAAAGAAATGCCTCTTCACCAACATATACGTTCTCAATACCCCCGGATGCCCAGCACTTGGAACATCATGACACTCAACCAAAATCCGTTTGATGAGTTTGTCAACACGAGGAACCACAACACGTCCCTTCTTCACCAGGATTCCATCTCGTATTTTGAATGACGCAAACTTGTCACCCTTCAAATCTGTAGAGGCGTCCCTCAACAAAACCTTCGCGCGAATACCAGTGATAAAGGAGTCGAAGTCAGCAAACTCCTTAAGCTCATCCAAGAGATCGTTGGATAGCTTCACGAACGAGATAGAATTTACCATCCTGAATAACACATCAGCCACCTTATTGTCACCTCCATGCTTGTACCGGATCTTAATAGACATTTCCTGCAGGAATTCTTGCCAACGAGCAAGGCGGCCTCGAAGATCCACATCTGGAGAGACTGATGATCTGAAACTACATGGAAGTCCGATCCATATAGATAATGTCGCCATTCTTGAGTAGGTCAATTCTGCTGTGTGATATCAAACTTGTGGCTCATGAAGGCAAGAGACTGCCTAACTTGAAGCAATACGGCCTCAAAAGCACTATCACTCACATCATTGCCTATAATTTCCACCACAGTCACCTTATTATTCATTGACCCCTTCAGAACAATCCTTGCTCTGATGTCCAGCTCTATGGCAACGAAAACAATTGCCCTCCGCCTTGTCTTTCTCTCGCTGGTCCAAACGAAGTTTCTTAGCTTCACTGCCATCTTCATGCTTCGAGCCACAACGGATTAACGACCGTTTCTTCCCCAAATATGAAGAATTAGCAAGCTGGTCATCACGTTGACTACTTCGTGGACTATCTCGTTGACCAGAGTTGACCGAGTTGACTGACGGTTCGGGCGAAAAGATCTGAGCCTTAGTGATAGCATCAGTCAATGTTGCTGGAAAATCCTTCTTGACCTTCTACTGCACATCCACTGAGCTCAATCCTTTGATAAAACATTGCACCTTTAGCAGCTCATTATAGGTGCCCGTGAGACTAAGGCAAAGATCACGGAACTTGCGGGCATACGCATCCAAAGACAAAGTCCCCTGCCGGATCTCTAACAACTGATTCACGAGATCAACCTCTTCAAACTTCTTGACAAACGAAGCGCGGAAAACCTTTGTCAAATCAGTCCAAGACGTCGGCGTCGGATTAGCTTTGATGTAGTTCTTCCACCACGAAGAAGCATGGCCCGTAAGCTTCGTCACAAAGAAATCTATCTTCACCTATCCTCACAAGGATTGTGAGACCAACAACTTTCCCACAATTCCAACCAAGAATCAACCTCTTGACTATCACAAACATCTGGTGATGATTTCCATTCCACGATACCATAATCCTTGGCATGCTTGACGTACCAATGGTAATCACGGACATGAGATTGATTCAACCCTTGAGGGTTCATGCGAAGCAAGAAATCCTTGATGAGATTGACGGAATCCTTAACCTCCTTTATGTCGCTTTGAACTGTAGAAATCTGGCGTCCTTGCCGCACAACAACATCATCAAGAGTCTCTTCTGCATCGTCATGGCTATCCTCACTAACGCCATACTCCTCATCAGGATCAATATCTTGCTCTCCCGCCATCCCCAAAAGAACGTGCTGCTCCGATACCAATGAAACGAACAAGAGAGCGAACCCTAGGCCAACCTCCCAACCCTTAAGGCGTTACGGCCTTAAATCCCACAGGCCATGGAATATTCTCGGAATATTCCCGTGGTTCGTGTCAAGGCCGCTGCTCCACTGCTGGAAATTCCGGCTCTAGTGCTGGGGCCGAAGTGGCTGGGTTGACTGTTGAGTTGACTTTGGACCAAGCCTGCAGAGAAGAAACAAAGTGAGAATCAATGAATGAAACATAAGTTTATACTTTACCTGTCCGATGTTGCAAGAATTCGCAGCTGCTCTGGCTCTGCTGCTGATGGCTCCACGGGCTGCTGCTCAGATGTTGATGCTGATGCTAGCGGCTGTGGGGCTGGCAGAAGTAATGGCTGCAAGCATCACAAAAATCATCACAAAAAATCAACTCCAAAATTCACTCCTCTTTTAGTAATTTTCACAAGCTTTGAAGGTTTTATGTTTTCATGATAAGGTGAGTCTTAATGTTTTACTGATAATAAAAAATTGTGACTGATTAACTTTTTGAATTCAAATACAAGAGATTATTTTGCTTCATTGATAACACTCCAAAATTATAAAAATATAACTTGCTCAATTCTGAAGAATGCAAAAAATCTTTGCACTATTATATATTGTTGTTTAACAGTTGAAATCTTATTAGTTTTTTCTATTATTATAATTCTGTTCCAATTGTAAAAGTCTAGTGAAATCAGAATGAGAAGATGGTGCCTGTTCCCAGGAGCTCACCCTTAATCAAATTCACTTTGAAGTTGAGGTACTCATGATGTTTATATGTGTGCCTTGCCACCACTTTGGATTAAATTCCACGTTTTGCACGAGAATGCATTGGATTGGATTAAGCCAGCTTCAAAAATAAAAATGAAATCATTTGTGTTTTGATTATCTATAGTAATGCTTTCAGTGTATTATCAAATGGAAAGCCTTTGACAAAATTCTTGCTAGGATTTGCGATGCCAAGTTTGTAGAATGATTTTCTTTCTTGAATTTTCGGAAAGCAAGGGTTTAATTTAAAGTTGATATTTTAGAAGTTAACTCGTATGAATTGATCAGATTAATCCTTGCTTTTCGGGAGAGCTGGAGATTGTTGCATTCTTGTAGCTCTGTCAACCACAAGAAAAAACTTGGAAAAGAAGGAAGAACGTACATGGAGAAATAGAAAACGAAACACCAGCAGTTGCTTGTTGCTGCGGTCGTCTTTGAAAATTTGCCGTCGTGTTTCCTCGTAACATTAGCATCAGGAAATTCTATGAGAAGAGAAATAGGAAGAAGAAAAGGAAAAAATCTTGACAAAGTTTACCAGTTTAACGACAGCTCAACCATTTCAGTTCCGCTAGAGCATTCGCATCAGGAACCCCGAGAATGCATAAAATCTTTCCCGGCACGACAATAAATGCTGCAAATCAACCGGAATGAAGTTTGGAACATGCTATAGAAAACCACAAAAAAACTCTGACCTCTCCCGGTGTTCTCGCGCTCCGCTGAAAACTTTGTCCTCCAAAGCCTGCTGCTCACGCAAAGATTGTCAGCAACAAAGAAATTCTTTCGAAGAACACAAGAATCACCTCAATGGTGCGACTGCCGGTGTAAACTTAAAGAACCGTTTTGTTGCGAGGGGCCAAAGCCTGCGTTTTCCAAGTTGTGGTGGATGGTACTCCTTTGCAATGTCTGTTAATGCCGGAAGGAGATTAACTAGGCCAAAAACTCGAGCATACCAAAGATGGTGTTCATCGTCTCCCCGAGAATGCCCACATATTTGTCCGAAAAGAGGAAGAACACTGCATAACAAAAGGAGCTTTGTGACAAACCAAATATATTTCCCAGGCAGAAGAGCATTTACCGTCAGCTTGATCCGATTCGCGTTTCTATACGAGCAAATTTTCCCCAGCTGCGAGCCACCGGATCACACGTTTAAATCCCAAGAGCAAAAGAAAGTGCTCTCGTGCGCGCTCGTGTCAGTACCTTGCTTTTGAAAAGCTCGAGGGGGGAAAAGCCTTGATCAAACCAATGTCCTCCTTGGATAGCTCAAGATTCGAGCGCTTCAAGGCTCTCTTCCTTTCTGCGAGGATCGAGAGAATCAACGAGGAAAAAGAGAATGATAGAAAGAAATTTACCAAGTAGCCCTAAACTTCGCTTTTGTGACACGTGTAAACCCCAAGGTTTTTAGGGTTCTACGAGTTTTTTTGAAAAATTCTCTCTCGATTTTTGTTACTGATCGATCATGGGGAGTGGAAGATCGCCATGCTCGCTTGCTCAGGTATGGAAGTTTTTCTTCTCTTCTTTTCTCACTTAGAGGTTCTCGGTACAGATTGATTGAATGAATGGAGCTATGAGATCCTGTGTGTCTATTCCAACCCAGGGGTTTCCTTGGAATCCCTTGCCTATCTCTACGATCCACCTCTGGTCGATTCGATCAAACCTGGAAAATTTTGGGGAGCTAGAGGCCCGATGAGGCCAGGGTTATGTGCCGGTCCACCGCATCTATCAGCTTCGTTGCCACTTGACCCGCAAAGGTAGATGTTCCTTCCATTATCTGCAAGAACAAACAAGGAAGCTTAGATCGTTTCTTTCCAAAGCTTCTAATGGATATCGCACAGGTCGATCGATCGACCAAGAACGAAAGATGGAAACTTGAGAGACGAGCGAGAGCTGGAAGATTACTGGCCTACCTTGGTGTTGAACATGAAAATGTGGTGCTCGCCAATGCTGGCTCCATTGGCATGGAGCAAATCGAGGTGGAGCTCGTTCAAGCTCCTCAGCACCGCCAGGAGCACGTAGTTCCGCCGCCTCCGCTGGGTGAGCTTGATGTTTACTTCGTCGTCCACGATCCTGACGTCGATTTGCGTTCCCATCTGTGACGTTCTTTGCAGCCAGGAGCTCCGGAGCTGCGAGCCATCGCCCAGGAAAGTTGTCTCCTTGGACACTCGCGTCCCTCCCGGCTGGATGGCGGAGCTGCTCTCCATGTCCGTGACACCACCACCCTCGGAAGGATTGTCCGGCGACGCCTTGCAGCGCCTCTTGTTGGATCCACGCCGCTTCTCCTCGACTAGCAGCTGCAACTCCTGGACGGTTCTCTTGAGCTCCTTGACATACTCGATGGCGTCCGCGACGATGGAAGCTCTATCAGCCTGCGAAGGTTAGTTGGGTGAGAAGTGAGAATAGATCGATCGACGAACAGGAAAAAATGAAGCCAAAAAGGAATGCAGCACAGGATAATGGATCGATCGACAAGAGGAAAAAAAGAAGCAAAAAGAAAGGGAAATGCAGCACAGGAGAGTTCTATATGCAAGGGTGGCCAGGCTGAAGATAAGAACCTTTGAGGGGTTGGGGACCAAGGATCTCAATGTCTGATACTTCTCGTTGAGATACTCACGCCGCTGCCGCTCCGTCGCGAAGTGATTGATGCCTCGGTTCTCGGCTCCTTTGCCGAAAGTGAAGTCCCTCTTCTCGAACAGGCTCGGGAAGAGGCGGCCCTCTTCGTGGCCGCCGCTGGTATCCCGGTCTTCCAAGTCGAGCAAGCCGGGAGGACGCATTATACCGGACTTTGAGCTCAGGTGGTGGTCGGAAGCATGAGGCAAGGTGTGAAGCAAATGCCTGAAGGAAGGCTGTGGAAGCAATTGCTGGCCGTGGACATGAGAAGAGTCGCCAATCTCTGCTGCGGTGGTGAAGGACGACAAGGCTCCTTGATGGCTCAGCTTCTTGGAGCTGACGGAGTTGAATGGCCCGGAGATGGTTCCTCCCGGCAGCGACGATGAGGCACAGCGCGGGAGCTGGAGGAGGCTCAGGAGCTCCGACTCTCTCCGGAACTTTGGTGGAGTGGAGTTGCCGAAGAAGTTTTGCTGCTGGACTTGGATGTGCTGCTGCTGCATAAGCATCTCCTGGAGGACATGGACGTTTTCTTCCCAGGTGGTGGCGGTGGCGGTGGAGGAGGCAGCGGTGGTGGTGTTGGCGGTGGTCTGCTGCTGGCTGTTTGCTGGTTGCTGCTGCTGCAACATGTCGTGGAGAAGCTGGCCATTGTCATCCAATTCGAATTCCACCGAAGGGACGTGCAGCTCCGAGCTAAGTTGCGGAGCGTCGCTGTGGATTTCTCCCAGCGCCAGATTCGAGGCCTCGAGTTGCTTCTCGAGCGTGTCTGTGAGATCCAGCAAACCGGTGCCATTGTCCGAATCCAGGCCCCCCTCCAGCGTGAAACTCTCCGAGGAGCGAGCAAAGTAGTTGTGATCCTCGTAAAGCGTGGTAGCCCCAAAATGCTGCATTATGATCCTTCGCCTGGGCAGGAGACAACGAGTAGAGAAGGATGTGTCAACGAGTGGAGAAGAAGAACAAGAACAAGAACAAGGTGCTGGAGGCATGGTGAGAACAAATTTTGTTTTCCACAGTACCTTGTTTCTGATGTTTTCTCTGCTGCCTAGTTCATCTTGACGACGACAAAGTACCTCGGCTCCTGGTTCGCTGGTATGAACACCTCCCTGGAGGAAAGAAGGCGACGAAGAAGAAGAAGAAGACAACGGGACATTCAACAATATATAGCGACCGAGGCCGCTCCGTTCCGTTTCCCTCTTCTGTTCCGGTGCACGGTAGCAACGAACTCGGTTGCACGCAAACCAGTACTCGGAGTACCTCGGCTCATCTCGTTTTCTTCCACTTCATTCCAGCTCTGTTCTTTATTCCCTGCGAGTGAGGTGAGCTTCAAGGTGGGAAAGCGTCGGCGTTTACGTTTGTCTTCTTTTTGTCTTTCCTTTTTCCTGTTTTTCTTTTCTTTTCTTTTCTTTTCTTTCTTTTGTGCTTCTCTACTGACGGATGATATCGTAATTGTCCAGGCTCCGGCACCAGCAGGGTTACAACTCTTGGACAGTAGAGGGAAGACCATGCACATAGGAGACTATCGTGCCCGCTATGTGCTGGCTTTCTAGGAGGCACGGAGCGAGGACCGGCTGGTACAGTAAATGTCCCAGCCCCTGACATACCTTACGAAGTTAAAACGACGAACGCATACGAGAGGTACGTCATACATCCGTCATGCTTTACTCTTGTGCTTTGAGAATTTGTGCCTCGCTTCATACATCCGTCGTGCTTAAGTTGTGGTGCTTAGAGATTTTTGTGCTTGTGACATGGAGACGCCTTCTTTTGCATCTCTGTTTGCTTGTCTTTTGCTTGTGCTTCTTGTTTAGTTGAACCAGGCTTTGTGCTTGGCAGGACAGAATCCGATTCCCGTTTCTTGGCCTGGGTCAAAAATTAATCGTCTGGCATCTTTACTGCTGCCGAGCAAAGCTAAGTGGTTTTTTCGTTTAGCAGTTTGCATGGTATTTTAGTTTTCTCGATTCGCATCGACTCTTTTCGCCGGGCTTCTGATTTCAGTCAGAGTTGCGAGAAAATTGTCCTTAAGTTAGACGTTTCTGTCCCCGCACTTGCAAGCCGTCATATGATCTGAATAGAACCGTATGTGTCTGTCGTCCCCCCGTTGCTTACGTCTCTTGATTTGAAGGGAATTTTTTTTTCCAAGGCTCGCGAAACCGTGTCTACAGAGCTTCGCTTTTGGATGCTTCCGCATTGAGCCAGCACCACCATCATTTTCTAAAGGGGCACCTATCATGTGAACTCTTTGTCATTTCTTGCTTGCCAAGCCTATGTTTGGTGTGATGTGCAGCGGGTACTCAAACTCTGCCTGCCAAAGCTTGCGTGCTTATCTTTGATAGTTAACTAATCCCCCTCTCACTCTCCCTCCTTGCAGGCAGTAAGGCCATCTTCGTTGCTGTGCCGGCATGCAAATTAAAGCTCATCTCGTCCCCGCAAGCTCTCTACATCCCAGTACTCGCGAACGATTATGAACTGGCATCATGGTCTTCCACCAAACTCGTCCAACATGAGTAGCCGGAGGGGAACAGTATACTTGAAGAAAGGAGGGGGAATATATATATATGCCCAAAGCATATATATATATATATATATATATCATTCCCAGTCCTCTCGCCAGTCTACGACTTCGACTGGCAACTACAACAAAGGAAAGACACAATTTTGGCGAGAAGAAAACAGAGGAAAGCAAAAGGTGGAGGGAGGCACAGATTAAACTGGAGCATCGCAGAATCAAAACAGGAACAGCACCTATCACTTTCCGGGGGGAGGCATTGGAATTTTGGTAGGTGGCAGCGTCTCCATCGCGAAATCATTGGAAGGGATGAAGATATGGATCTCTAGTCAAGGCGCTGGGAGGGGTATCTTATACACTTTCATCAGTTTTTGGGAGGAGGAGGACGAGAAGGGGTCAAAGTTGGTTCCAACGCGCTTGGGATGAGGCCGGGCTTTACCATTTAAAAATGGCAGGCTTTTGCACGGTTGTGCTTCCGGAGTACAGAGATTCAAAGAAGGCCGAAGGCTCCGAAAAAAGAGAGTTTTTTCTTCTCTTCTTCCTGTATACCCGGTATGTGTTTCTTTCTCTTCTTCTTTAACTTTTTTCCTTGCGATGTACACTCACAAGAATTTGTAGATCGATCTGGAGCGCATCTAACACTCGAAAGTCATGGGCCGAAGAGAGCTCTCTCTCCCAATCCGAATGCTAGAAGCAGTGTGTCGGACTTTGCTTGTAAGGTATGTTGTGGATCATTTGCTTCTTTCGCTGGAATTTATTGTGTTGCTCCCGGCAGCGTCGTGAATCGTGATTGATTGGTTTCTCGTGATGCTCTTGCCAGGTTTGTTTCGGGGAGTTTTATTTCGTTTCGCCCCCGCCATTGCGCTTGTTTCCATCATCCATGGAATGATTGTCCATAATTGGTTTCGTTAGATTGACTCACACAATGTGGGTGGCCTTTCATTCCTGGGCAAGTTTTGGTGTCGCCATTAAGGTTGATGTTCTTCTAACATCGCTTTATCTGTTCTTCTTCTTTTCTGGCTTTGCTTTGCCTTTCTTTTGCAGGCTCGCGCGCTCGCTCGAGCATAAATCCGGCATGCGGGGGTGGGAATATCCCCGCTTTCCTGCATGATGTGTAACAAACTCACGGCCGTACGAGTTGGGACCACTTTTGTACGGCTGGGCGCGGCACATCCAACGGCTCTGTTTGAATTTGACGACGGTCAGCTGGATATTCCGCCTGGCTTGCGACTTTTAGGGTTTTAGACCGCTGCCCGGCGATGGATGCAGTGGATGGAGCTAGCTGATAGCGCTAGCGCTTCCACGCGGCTAGATCTCTTTCTCAGTTCTTCCTTTTTCTTCTCGTTCTTTCTAACAGGCGAGCGCTTGGAATATTTATTGGAACACGTGAAGTCTCTGGCCAACGATGAAGGAACAATTGTACATCCTGGAATGCCAGACGTAAGTAACTCAGTGATGAGGATCCATGATTCGCTTGACTTCTTTTCTTAGGAGCCGAAGCAATTCACTGCAGTGGCTGCTCGTTCCAAAGACGAAGAAGAGTCGTTTGAAAGAAATCCGATCAATCGGTCATGAAGTAGTGAATGGCAGCTTTGTCAACACTGGGACAAACGAAGAGAAAAGAGGGAGACCGTGCTACTCGGTTGACTTGTGTGGCGTATCTAATTCCCGGAGCTTGCATTTCTGCGAGGGACTTTTACTCCGCTACGATATTCTCAACGTGCGTGCCTCACCTTGTTGAGCTAGTCCATGACGCCAGGTCCAACTGTTTCTAGCTTTCGGGATTTTTTGCGATTTCTTTCGTGTTTATGTTGATGTCTCACTGTCAGGGACGAGAAATCAGAGGCTTCCTACACGACTTAACGATTTTTGTGCTGCGCTGAGGATCACCAGGTTCGCTCTTTACAACATACAACAAGATGCATTGGTTCTGCTTTGACTTCCTTCTTTGGTTTTTGTCTCTTTTCTTGCGATGGACTTCACGACACGGATTGATGTCGAGGTCAGAGCAAAGTATTCTAGTTTTCTAAAAGCTTCTCAGGCTTCTTTGCTTTTCGTTTTCCGTGCTGCGACAATCAGGAGGGAAGACTATGGCAACGGCACTCTCTTTTTTCTATACTCAGATCGTAACATCAACGCTTTTTAAGGTTCTTTGACAGGGATGGAGATGCTTTAGTTTTGACAAGAGCATTTGACTTGCAGCTAGTGTTAATGGTTTGTGTTCACTTGGAAAGCATAGTGACGGCGACCAAACAAGTTTAGTACGATGGCAATGGAATTCCTTGACGTGCCCAGCGCTTCCACTTAAGACCTCGTTTCATGGCAGGGAAGCGATTCTGGCTGATAAATCGTGGTATTTTAATTTGTGGCATTTTTGCAGATATACTGTTTGGCAAGACCAAACGTTTTGCGTCTTTGTCCAAACACTTGAATGTGTAAATGGTGCTGTAGCTAGTACTGATGATGTTGTTGCTGTTGTGTTTGTCCAAACACTTGAGAGTGTATAAATGCTTGTTTCTCGTTCGCACATACATAGCATCTAGATCAAGCTCAGGATAAACCTGTCCATCCCAACATTGGATGATGATCCTCTAATAGTAGCCACCATAGGTGTGTTCCAAGTCATCTATAGCTTGAATGCCTCTCTTTACAACCTCCTTTGTGGAATGTTGCAAGGGAGGAGAGATGCTGCTTGATGTACTTGAAATTACTAACTATCATCATGATTTCTACTTTTTGCAGACTCTCCTGGTTGCATGTGGCAATTGACAAGCTCTGTCATCTCATTGTGCTGAGCCGGCCATGACATTTTGATTTCCCAGGCACCAGCTATTATGGCATTAACAGAATCCTCTTGCTTCATGATCTAGTAGCGATCTATGTTTGTATCCATGTTGATCTTTTGGACTGCTACACGGCATGCCTCACGCTCTTCACAAGGAAGAGTTTCTTCAATCTGCTCAAGAAGAACAGCATAAGGCAAGGCAGATTGATTGACAACAAGCATCAATGGAAAGTTGAAAACCATGGTATCAAAGAAAGATAGTAATCAGAGTTCTTGTTCTTCTCCTCTTTACCATGCTTGCAAAGGAGAGAAGACAGGAGCAAAAAAGCAAAATTCAAGAAATGAACTCACACACTGACGAAGTCTTAAGAATAAAAGTGATTTGTCATACCCCATTGTGCGAATGAGAATTCTTGCTTGAATTGTGGGATATTGCAAATCTAGTCGAGGCTTGCAGCTCGGTATCTAGGAGTGACAAACCTTGATGGGTTCTCAATCCAGTGCATTAGGAACTTTTGAGCACTAGTACTACAGGCTTCTTCCTCTATTTCAGATGCAGATTGTTGATATCATTTTGTAGAACAAGCTAAGCCTTAAGACCTGTTTTCAATCAAATAACATGTTTAAGATTAAAAGGATTAAATATACTTGCTTGCAGCCTCGAAATTTTCAGCTGGCTTGGAACGTTCTGAAGGTCAAAGAATCTCTGCATGAGTAGCACGCTGAACCTGTGACATGCCTCGTGCTACATTATAAATATTCGCAAAATAATGGAATCTAGACGTATTCCCACTTGCTAAGCCAACGAGCGCTGACGTTGCGCAGTGTGTGGCGCTTGCGTGTAATAAAAGAGAATTTTTTCTCCTCCGTAATTTTAAGAGTTGGTGGGATTGTGATAATGCGTTAATGATGTGCTTGGTGGCACCCAATGGATTCTCCAAACAATGGATGGCAAAGAATCACCCAGCGAGAGCCCACCCAGAAATCATCCAAGCTCGAAAACAACTGGATGGAGAAAATTTTTAGGCAACATTGACACTGGTGATTTTATGATTGTGGTGCTGATTAAAATCCAAGCTTCTATCTCAAATCTAGCTGGCAACACAAATCCATTTAAGCAAGCTAGACTTTGGACAAATGCCTCCCATTCTTGTCCGCTTGCATGGTGTGATGTGTGAAGTGTGGTGGACAAGTTTTGGGCGTATGCCGCAAGAATCGAGCCCACGACCGAGCACATTCCAGGGCATATGCGCGAGAATTTTGCGCCAGCTGGCCGCCAGGCTGTCATTTTCTTGCCTTGGTTTTAGGCGTCGTCAAGGATTTAGGGTTTTATGATTTTTTCTGTGCGAGCAGGGGAGGGCGGGGCGATCCTCTCCACCGCCATAGCCAGCAAGGAGATCGATCGGTGATCGGCGCCGCCCTCCCGTCTCGGTAATCCGGGCCGCATTCCCTGCGATCCAACGCGCAGATCTTTTGTTTCTTCGTTTTTTTCTCCCCTTTTTTTCTTTCTTTCTTTGGTTTCGAGCTTCGTTTCTTCGTAGCCTCTATAGAGTTTTCTTCTCTTTCGATCTGCTTTTCTTCTTTTCGATTCTTTTGTATATTTGGTAGCGAGCTTCAAGCTAGGCGAGGGCGATGAGCAGCAGTGTGACGGCAGTGCTCGAGGAGAGGTCGACGAACCATCAGGAAGTAAGCGAAGAAGTAGTAGCGATCCCAGAGGGCGCGGCCACCAAGCCCTTCTCCGCGTTTGGATCATACCGACAGCGTCACGGGGATGTGGAGAACATCAATTTCAAGGCTGGGATGTCGTCAGAGGCGCCGGCGATACTGGGCTCAGTCGCTGGCGGCGGCACGGATCTCGTCCAGGGCGGCGCTCACGGGAGCAAGAGCGCGCCCGTGAACATCCCCAGATCCTCGGGAAGCGGAGGCGGCAGCAAGGATCCGGGGATGCGCCGCAGGGTTCTTCGCCCCAGGAATCGCGAGGTGGAGCTGGACGAGGCCTGGGAGCGCAAGAGGGACCAGCATTTGCTCGAGGAGATGAAGCAGGCGACCGAGAATCGCCAGGCCCGAGCAGTGGGGCGGAGCGTCTCCGACTGTGGCGAGCGCCCGCTGCCACGGCTGGACAGCACTGCTCGCGCCGCGGATAAGACGCGGTTTCGAGCTCGCAGCTTGACCGACGAGGATCTGGACGAGCTGAGAGGAAGCATCGATCTGGGATTTGGGTTTAGCAACCAGGCGGATCCCCGGCTGTGGAACACGCTCCCGGCGCTGGAGCTGTGCTACGCGATCAACCAGCAGTACCAGAACAAGGGCTCTCCCGTTTCGACGGTGGACGACGATGGAACAGGCAGCGATGGGACTGGCAGTCCCATGAATTCTCCCTCCTGGACCGTCTCCAGTCCTGGTAAGTTCTTTCAAGCTCTTTCATGGTTGCTTCCTTTGGTTTCGTATCGCTCATCGAAAGCGTGTTATCCTTTTTTCTTTTTCCGTGTAGGTGATCATCCCCAGCAAGTGAAAACACGAATCAGGCACTGGGCTCAGGCGGTTGCTTGCACGATTCGCCAGAATTACAAGCATGAATCGTCGTGATGGTGGTGGTGGTGGTGGTGGTGGTGGTGGTGATTCAGTATGACAATCAAGACGAAGTAGAAAAAGCAAGAAGAACGAACCAAGAACAAGAAGAACAAGCGAGGTGCTAAGTACTCGAATAAAGATCATCGAGTTTACGAAAACACGAAGGAAGTGGAGGCGGCGCGCGGTCGTGAAAGAGAGATAAGCTTTCTAATCTCTCTCTCTCTCTCACACGCACAAGCAGGGCTTAACTTCTAGCTTATATACATACTTTCAAGACGTGGTTTTAGCTCTCTGACGATTCTTAGAGATTTCCAGCAACGCGCTTCAAGAATTCAACACCTTCAACAACACCCGCAAGCGTGTTGGTGGTGGTGTTGCTCGAGGGGCCACCGAGCTGTGTAAGTTGCCCGCATCATCCAGCTCGTCGTCGTTGTTTATAAGAAAATACTAACTACAAGCCAGCAGAATTCTTCCTCTTGTTTTTTCAATCTGTGTTTTTTTGTTTTTTTTTGTTCCTCGTTTGTGTGGGCCGGGCCTGCAATAGGTGTTGTGTAGTGTAGCGGAGCTGCACAGGCTTTGGTTTTGTTTTCTTTCTCGCGTTCTAACATGTTTCTCGGCGCTGGTTTAGCTTTGGGAAGCTTTTCCTCTCTTGTCTGAGCGGCTTTCGAGGTATTCGGCTTTGTTTTCTTTGCTTTCTGCCGCTCCTGTTTGTGGGAGACTAACATCGCAGCTGCTTTGTCCTGCAGATCTTTGACTTGGCCCGCACACGCGAGAAAAGGCATCCGAGCGAGAAGCACTGACACGCGATGGGGAAAGGTGTTGAGCAACAGGGTCTTGACACACATAATCGCTGTGAGTGCTTGGATCAGAAGCTCTAGCTAGCGACAGGAGGAGTGGGGCTCTCGCTCGATCAGGACGAACTCAATCAGGAAGAACAAAGCGAGAACAAAGGAAAGAAGTATAAAGAAGTGATCTGCAAACCGGCTGTGGAAACGTGGATCCAAGCCAAAAAATCTGCTGCTTGCCTTTGGTTGGCTGGCTGGTTTGGTTCGTTTGGTGGCGAGCGTATTGAAGAATTGGAAGGCGGATTTTAATGGGTTGGGTCACTGTTTGGTGGAGGTCTCTCCAAAAGAAATTCATTCTCGTTTTTATGTTTGGTTTCGCCCCCGGTCTTTTTCTTCTTTATTGAAAGCCAGGATTCGCTCGCGAAGATTTGGGAAGAATCATATGATTTTGAGCCGTTTGACCGTTGACCGCACGAGCCCTAGTTTTTATGAAGAGAAATTTACCGCCAAATTCTCTGTTGTAGGGTTTTTCTTCTTTCCTAGGGTTCTTGCTTGCGATGGACCAATCATCCAATCCCGCTGTTGGAGTCGTAGAAGGAGAGGAGGATCGGGCTCACTGGATCTCCGAGTGGCTGTGGCCATGGTGGTGGTGGTGATGGTGGTGTTGGAGTGCCGCCATGGCGGGGACGGGCTTGACGTCTATGTCAACAGAAGAGGTGAGCTGCCGCAGGTGAGCCGGATTGTTGCCACTGGAGTGGATTGGATTGTTTTTGATGAGTGCCAGCAGCTGGTGCTGGGTGCCTGGGTGATTGAAGGCTGCAGAGCTTGGGTTCAGGCCCAGCCTTCCCAGTTTGCTCAGATCTCACCAGTATGAATTGCTGCTGCTTGGGGCTGGAGTTCATTTATAAGCTCTAGGTTTGACCCTGTTAAGTGGTGGTGGTGGTGGTGGTGTGAAAGTTTGCAAAGGTTGAAACTGAGTGGTGGTGCTATTGCTCCACCATAGCTAAGGAGCTGTAGGAGGTGACTGGAGAGGTTTGCTGGTGAGCATTGCTGCCTATCCTGGCTGATGATAGCAAGAGGCTCAGGCCTTGTAGGTACTGCTGGTGCACAGATTCTTGCATGCAATTTGCAATGTTCTTGGGTTAGTCATAGATGAAAGTTGAATTCTTGAAGCTTGAAGTGATAAAGTATAAGCCACCTTATATGGACACTTTGGGAGGTCCACTACCAGCTCATCAAATTTTGTCATGTTCACCAATAGCACTCTTTTCCTACTATAGAAGTATAAATGTTAAACCTTTAGGATTGCAATCCACTTGGTGACAAAAGCTGTGGTGAATGGCTAGAAGACCGATGATGTCCAAGATGATATGCTACCAATGACTTTGAATTGACTACCACAGCATCCATAATGACAAAATAAGGACTGTCAATTGTTATTAGTATAGGTGTGCACTACAACCACAAATAGTGCATAGCAAAATGAAAATGAGTTAAAGGAATCTAAAGAAAAAAAAGCAAGAGTGCATAGGGTCATGCTATACCTATGGCCCAGATGGTAGCCCATCTTGAGGATTAGCCTGGATATATTTGGATGTTGAAGTTCCACTAGATGATAATGTCGATCTTTAGAAGTAATTATGGAATGCTGATGGGGAATTATAAGCTTGCTAGTGTGGTAGCATTGTTAATTCATCCTATGCAAAAAAACACATGGAAAAAAAATAAGTACCAATGAAAAACTTATCGAGCTAGAGCACTTATTGCTTCAGGAGGTAGATAGCTAGGTAGTGGCATTTGTACTAATAGATGGAGTTGTGGTAGTTGTAGCGGCTAGTGGAGTAGCGGTAGGTGCAAATGGGCTGGTACCAATGGCACTATATAAGCTTGCATAAGCATATCCTGTGATTGGTGTTGGTGGCAACATTGCAAATTGGACAACACCATGGGCCTGAGGCGTGTGGACGTGCTCATTTTGGATGCTTAGGCTGTTACTTTCCAAAGAAGGCAAGGAGAAAGAAACATGCAAGGGGTTTTGCATGTGTTGCAACATATGCAATGTTAAACAACACTCTGCTTTCTCAAATGCAACTAAGAGTTATGGGTGGGATGTTGTTGGAGTTGATGTCCATGTTTTGGAGCCTAGCAAATTGAGTGGTTGGTGCGTGTCCTATGGGACTGTTAGCTGTATTGACTATAAAACATCAAGTGGTTGGGTTGTTTCCTATATAGTGTCTACTACTGTTAAGCCTGAAAATCATAAAGGATTAGTTATGTAAACTTAATAAAGCAGAAACTACCCACTGTTGCAACAATGGTGCTCTTGTTTAGGTAGTGGTCCTATGATTAGGGAAGTGTGCGCTAGAAGCCTTACCTTTGGTTAGATCAATATAACATTGAGTGTAAACCCTAATCCCAAACATGGCAACCCTAAAATTTAGAAAAGTCATTTGAATTTGAAATTTACACTAAAGAACACTCTAATAGTTTTCTCCAAGTATGGCTAAATATAATTTTTCTAAAGCTCATTGCTTTGCTAGTGTTGTTGTAGGTAAGGCACTCTCAATGTAAAATGGTAGATCTACACTTGCAACATCAACCATTGCACATTTTATTGTTAGATCTAAATGAAGTAGATACTACTTATCCAAATTGAGTCCCTCCTGATGCATCAAGAAAGCCTAGTTATAAACAGTACTAAAAGTTTCTAAGGTAGCTAAGTAGACGGGAATAGATTAAAATAAATTATTCTATTCTTGCTCTAAAGATTACCTCTAGTAAAGCTGTATCTTCGACATTGGAAAGAAATGGTTTAGGTATGTTTTCAATATCTTTTCTACCAATAGCTAGCATAATTCTATAGAAGCACAATTTAGGAAGAATTTTGTAACATTACCAATATTATTACCCAAGCTTTCATTCTATCGGTTGAAATAAGTTTGCAAGAACATAATGTAGCACACATGGTTTTTACTCTTTATTCTATGGTGATTTACCATGAAGCAATATCTAAACCCTTTATATGCCATGTGTCACATGCCATGTGTCCATAGAACAGTGGTGTGAAACCCAAGGTTTAGAGCCTTGGGCTATTAAACGAAGGAACGATGCTAAACCCTTAAGCATGGAGCCAAGGAGTGATGGAATCGGACCATGGAGCAACTCTTGAGCATATAACCCAAAGGGCGCAGGGACAGGAGCCTGGAGCGACTTGGAACAGTCTTAGAGCAACCAACATCCCAATGCTAGGACTAATATGCAAAACAGAGCCAAACAAAGTCTAGCACTATTTTAGCATACTGGTGGCCTAACGTGAAGATATGGGTACTCCACCAGCTAGCATGGAATGGAACTTAGGCTTAAACCCAAGCTAGACACAAAACAAAGACAAACACACAAGTGAGAGCTAAATTATGCCTCAAGTTCGTCAACCATGCCCGACCTACCCACTATCCCTACTATACATTTGGAACCCCTCACATCCCCCCCCCCCCTTTTAGGAACACACGCTTTGGGCTTTCACCCTAAGCCTCCCTTAGTATCAAGAGTTAGTCTTTGGGAGAAGCTTAAAACTTATTAAATATGGAATATCCATTCTCAAGAGGAGCAACTAAATGCAATGGAGAGGGGCATTGATTTTGCTTTTGAACCTGAATAAAATTTTATAATGTTGTGGAAGAATAAACTTAAAGAAATCTAGATTTAGTGGTATTTTCAATTTCAAATCGAATCGCCATGGTAATATTGTTTACTGATCAAATTAATGATCAAATCAACACAATTAAAATAACATAAAAACAACAATACTTTCCCTAGATTGCGAATTTGGACATGGGACGAACACCATTGTGTTCCGAATAATCTTTACATTCTGTAGATATGCCAAATGAGCAAATCTGGACACTTTCCATAAATAGCATTTGGGATCGAAATGAGATTAACACAAAGGGCATGATAGTGAGGGTGTTTGGCAGACACAGTAAGCTATCATCTAGTGATATTGAGGGACTAATTTTAATACACGAGGGTTTTTCTCACTAGCAAGTGCAAGATAAAACGAGACGGAAACTCTTTACTGGGCTAAGTATGCTTAGTTAATAACACGTAGGAATTCTTTAATGGCTATTTTATCCCCATTTATCCCCTAAGGTTCCAAGAATCCATGGTGACAGTATATCCAAATCTCATCCCATGATCACATGCGCTACACATAAGATGGCCTAAAGTAATCACAACATCGATATGGACAGACCTCATAGAGATTCTAGGGTGCAACATAGTGCAAAATATCCTTCTTGAGGTATGGAGCAAAGACATAAAATAGACTCTACTTGTGCCATGGATTAAATTCCTATGTCTTCCATAGCCTTGAAAAGATGTTTATAAAACCATACCACACGCTCAAAAAGCTCTCTCCACAAATGCTCTATGCATTGTAAAATGAAATGAATTTAGCCTTTATTTGGACAAAACTCTAACATTGTGAGTACCTAATTACGTGTTAATATCCCATATATGAAGATCCTAGCTGCTAGACCCCAATAGTGGACCATATCCCTCTTGATCTCATTGTGCTCTAGAGCATTGTTGCTCCAAATGCACTTGAACCTTCTAAATCGATGAACAGCCTACACATATGTATTGAATATTGCATAGGATTCTTTAAAGGTAGCCAACTCGCAAGCTACAATATAATAAGTTGCCCTGCAAATAATGATATGTGCATAGAAACCATAGATTTTAAATTTACAATATGCTACAATAAATATGTTATCACATGTGATCACAAAAAGGTAAAAATGAAAGAATACTTATAATCTATATAGCAAAGTGCATATGCCTCTTTGTTCTTGTAAATCTATCATTAAATCCTTGTTAAGTACCTCTATTGCAGCCTTGTTGTATTATGAGTGACTAAAGCCTCACGAATTTGGTGTCAACTAAACTAATATCCTTCGGTCCAACAATTAGATTGAGAATTGATAATACCCTAATTTGTGCCACGTTGGTTCATGGCATTGTTAGTCCGGACATGATGAAGTACCTTTTTAGGTGGTACCTTATAGTATACACCTCTCCAATTTAGATCAACAAGCCATATATATTTGTATAGTGTTGGCTTAGAAATTCTAATATAGCATATAAAGTAAGCAGTAATTTTAGTCTCAAGGATCTTCAGGTGCATCCAAGTGCCAAATACGGCCGGACTACCAAATCCTCTAATCGCAAAAAATGATGAAAGCATGTAAATAAATTAAATCTAAAAGGCTGAAAACTAACCAAACCTTTGGGGTTGCTATCCACACCTAAAACCACAATTCAAGTCACTAAAATTGGATGGAAAGCCATCCTCCTCCTCTTCCTCCACATTTTCCAATAAACCTAAAAGGAAAGGTTTCAGTGATACAAATTTGAAGCAAACCTGTATACTTGTAGTGAATCAAAGCCTTTCCAACATTTCCCACAAAAACATTTAAAATCAATCACACTAGATGTGGAAGGTAACTTGGTTTGCTGCCAAGAAACATGAATAACAAGGCATTAAGGCAAGGCACTAAAGCAAAGAAGTGTCTCCTAAGACATGATGAATCTTTAGGTTATGACATCTATTCACAAAGGTATGTATAACACAATGCTCATATTATAGGGACATCATTCACCATTGGGCTAGCATCCATGGGATTGACATTTAATGCTAATCCAATAGATAAATGCCATGTGGACACCCTGAAATAGACTGCTGTATTTTCTACTTTTTAGGAATTGTATGCCATAGTAGCAGAGCTGCACATGCTTTTGTTTTGTTTTCTTTCTCGTGTTCTAACATGTTTCTTGGTGCTGGTTTAGCTTTGGGAAGCTTTCCTCTCTTGTCTGCACAGCTTTCGAGGTATTCGGCTTTGTTTTCTTTGCTTTCTGCTGCTCCTGTTTGTGGGAGACTAACATCGTAGCTGCTTTGTCCTGCAGATCTTTGACTTGGCCTGGACACGCAAGAAAAGGGATCCGAGCGAGAAGCACTGACACGCGATGGGGAAAGGGTCTTGACACACATAATCGCCGTGAGTGTTTGGATCAAAAGCTCTAGCTAGCGACAGGAGGAGTGGCTCTCACTCGATCAGGACGAACTCAATCAGGAAAGAAGAAAGGAAAGAAGTATAGAGAAGTGATCTGCAAACCGGCTGTGGAAACGTGGATCAAAGCTTTGGTTGGCTGGCTGGTTTGGTGGCGAGCGTATTGAAGAATTGGAAGGCGAGAGTGGGATTTTAATGGGTTGGGTCACTGTTTGGTGGAGGCCTTTTCCAAAAGAAATTCATTCTCGTTTTATGGCTTTGGTTTCGCCCCCATTCTTTTTCTTCTTTATTGAACGCTCGCGAAGATCTGGGAAGAATGAAAATTTTCATAGCGTGAAGAGCTTTTGTTTATGATTTTGAGCCGTTTGACCGTTTACCGTACGAGTCTTTTGAAGAGAAATTTACCGCCAAATTCTCTGTTTTAGGGTTTTTTTTTCTTTCCTAGGGTTCTTGCTTGCGATGGATCAATCATCCAATCCCGCTGCTGGAGTCGTAGAAGGAGGAGCCGAAGGAGGAGGATCGGGCTCGCTGGATCTCCGAGTGGCCGTGGCCGCGGTGATGGTGGTGATGGTGGAGCGCCGCCGCGGCGAGGACGGGCTTGACGTCTGCGTCGACAGAAGAGGTGAGCTGCTGCGGGTGAGCCGGATTGTTGCCGCTGGAGTGGATTGGATTGTTTTCGATGAGCGCCAGCAGCTGGTGCTGGGTGCCTGGGTGATTCAAGGCCGCGGAGCTTTGCATGCTTTGGTTCAAGCCCAGCCTTCCCAGTTGGTGCTCGGATCTCGCCAGTACGAATTGCTGCTGCTGCGGGCTGGAGTTCATTTGTAAGCTCGAGGTCTGATCGATGCTTTCCCTGCTAGGTGGTGGTGGCGGTGGCGGCGGCGTGAAAGTTTGCAAAGGTCGAGCCAGCCATGGAACCGAGTGGTGGTGCTGTTGCTCCACCATAGCTGAGGAGCTGTAGGAGGCGACCGGAGAGGTTTGCTGGTGAGCACTGCTGCCTATCCCGGCTGACGATAGCGACAGGCTCGGGCCTTGCAGGTACTGCTGGTACACGGATTCTTGCGTCCCTGGAGATTGCCGGGTACTCTGTGCGGAAGATGGTGTCCGTGAAACCACCGAAAGTACGAGTGCTTGTACGTCGGAGCTGGGAAGCGGTGTTGCTGCTTGCTGCCCGGCTTGGGCCGAGCGCATTAACGAGCTCCTGCTGCTCGCTGCCGCGAGTTTCTCGTCCATTGTCCCGAAGCTGGGGGACTGCTGCTGCTGGTGGCCTTGCAGCCTGTTTGCTCCTCCTGAGCTGAGACTATCCCTGTCCGTGAGAGATGCTGTTGGGGAGTTACTTTTGTGGTGGAGCAGCATTGTTGGCTTGTGGTCGCCTTCGATTACTACACAGGCACAAGCACTGGTACGTTAGCTATGTTTTCTTTTTCATTCTTTCATTTCTCTCTGTTTTTTAATTCCAGTTATTTGAAAGAGTATAGTATTCTTCGACTTACTTGTGCGTATGTTTGTAGATTGTTCCTCGGATTTAAATGGCTCCGAGGATATGGTGGCTACGGCACTGTGCTGCGGCTTTCGCCGCCGACGGTTATGGTCGGCGAGTCGCTTTCTACAGCTTCTTTTCGTGTCGTCAAACTCTGATAAGGGGTGGAACCTGACGAGACAACGAACCAGTAGCAACGTAAGCATGTAGAACCTTTGGGTTTAAGAAATTCTCTCGCCTTTCCGTTTATGTTGCTACTGGTTTATGTTCCCTCTCTTTTTTTTTTTCTTGTCTGCACAACTAAAGCTTCTCTTTTCATAAATGCAGATTCTAGCTACAGGCAAAGATCACACGGAGAACATCACAGGGTGAAGATTGTCGATGCAACAAGGAGAGCTGAAGAAGCAACGGTGAGAGAGATACGTACCTGCTGCATTGCTGGCAAAACCGTTGAGTCTGTGCATTGGCAATTACGTTGGGTGCTTTCGAGTGTATCTCGCAGACTTTGTGCCGCCGGTGGTAATGCTTGGCTTTGCTCAAGTCCGCTGCACATCCTTGCACTTGGCACATAGGCGCATGAGTCCCTAGAGCGTTCATGCGGCTCCTTTTCCCCAGTCTAGCCGAGTCCTCGGCCGAGAAGTACGTCCGTCCTCCCAGATTGAGTCCTATCCTAGCGTGTGGCTCCAGCGAGTACATGTCTTCCCTCTTGACAAAGTCGAGCATGTTTTTGTGTTCCGCTGACTCCAGCATTTGCATTCCCAAGAATCTCCTCCGCTGGTCGTAGGACCGGAGCTCCGCATTGAGGTCGCTCGGCGGACAGGCTGATCCGTGAGCGTAAAATCCCGTTGCCTGTTGCTGTTGCTGCAAGTTTTGTGCTGCTTGGTGATGGTGGTGACTTTGGCTTTGCTGATGGTATCCGTCGCTCAATCCCCCGGCGTAGCTTCTCAGGCCCGGGCCAGCGCTGTAGCTCGCAGCAATGGACAAGCCAGGGTGGTGGTGGTGTGCGAGAGCAGTGGCCGAGTAATTGGCAGCGACATTGTACTGCCTGGCGTTGCAAAGAGCTGTGGCTGTCGGGAGTGCTAAAAGTTGAGGCTTGCGCTCTCCATCTCCAGCTCCTCCGACGAGCTCCGCTGTAGCTGCTCCTCCTCCCGGATGATTTTGGTGGTGGACGAGTAGCATCTGGCTTTCCCAGTCCCACTCGGGACGAGCTGCTGCTGCTCCCCCTTGGTGGTGATAAGTCGCACCGCTGTGAGGCGTGGCCGCGTGATCCCAGTTATCTGTTACCCAGCTGGGATCCCCGTGTTGCCCCGAAGGATTTGGAGATGGATTCATCCCATCAGTCGCTGCAAGCAGGCTTGTCGCCAGGACTATCGAGTGAGTACTTGATATGCTGCTACTTCTATACTAAATACTTCTGCTTGTTACAGCAGACAGTCCTGTCGGGGAAGAGAATTGGAAAAATCCCAAAGGTGAGGGAGTCTCGGCCGCTGTAAAGCTGTGCACTTACTTCGAATGTGAGCTCGGGCCTTCGCTTTTGGTGCTCCCTTGCGGCGGCGGTGGCGGCGGCCGTTACCAAGAACACTAGTTGCAAGTAAGTTGCCGGTAGTATGATACTTTGGTCCTCTCTTCCTCCTGCCCGGGAGAGAGACGCGCTCTTCTCATTCATCGCTTTTGGCCCTTACAGCTGGAAGGAGCCGTCCAATACATGGACTGGCCGGGACAAAGATCAAGCAAGCAAGAACAGCTAGACTTCACACACACACGAGAACGAAGTAGGCCCTGAGGCTCAGGATGATACAATAGATATGGCTTCCAAAGCATCGTACAAGCAGGAGCAGCAGTAAAAAGAAGGAGTACGATACTCGAACGCGAGCAGTAGTAGCAGTAGCAGGAGGAGGAGCAGCTGTAGCAGCGGCAGTCGCAGCGCAGCAGGAGAGAAAACGATGATGATGAGGATGATGATGATGATGATGATATCAAGGCCCAAAGAAGAAGTTTCTGCTACTCGAGCTCCCGCAAAGCGTTACTCACCTCCACCAAGCAGCACCGGGCCAGGACTACACTCATTTTTTCTCCTCAACAAGAAGAGAGAAGCAGCACAGCAAGCAACGCCGAGCAAAGCAATGCAAAAGGAGGAGCGGCCGAAAAGAAAAGAAGGAAAAAGGAGTGCTCTTCGCAACGGGAGAAGAAGTAAGTTCTTCGTCTGTTTTTCTCGCCTCTTCTTGACTGTGGATCATTCAGGAGCAGGGCTCGCGCTCCTCACATTTTGTCACTCGAGAGCCACCAGCTTATTCGTCGAGAACGAAAGAGCAAACAAGAAGAAGGCGCGGGAAAGAGCAAAGCAGCCATGGCCAGGAAAAAATGGGAGGAGGCGTCCGAGGAAGAGAAAGAAAAAAGCACGGAGGGGGAGCGGTGCCGCTACTGCGCCGCGGGGGCCCCAACGGCGGCGCCGCCTGTATGCATGTGTGCATGGCAGGGAGCAGTAAATGCACCGGTACGGAGTGAAAAGACGGCAGTACGACCGAGGGTACGGCGCTCCAGGGGGATGTTATTTTGGGGCACGCAAGTGACGTAAGCTGGGTCTGGGAATGTAAGTGGCTAGGCTGCTTGCTCAAAGCTTTGGCTTGCATTTTTCTTCGATTTGTTTTTCTTGTTCTTGCTTGATATTTTGTCTTGCCTGTTTTTCTGTTGTCTCAGTGACTAGTAGACTACTACTACTGACTGTAAGTGTTTTATGTGTTTTGAGGTTGAGCTGGGCTGCTGTGGACTGGAGTGGAGCATTTTGATTGGAAGAGGACTGGTGCTACTTTCAATCCATTCAAGTCTAGTCTGGTCAGTTGTGTGTTCTTATTTTGCCTGTGTCACTGCTGTGGGCCTGGCCACTGTTCTGCTGCTTCTGCTGCTACTGATTTCTGGCTTGGCTGGCTGGCGGGCTACTTTTGTGTGTGAGAGTGATCATTTAGTTTTGGGAAACCTGGAGAAGTTGACGGTTTATGTGTTGCTTACTAAACAGGTGTTCCGGCTTACAGCAGGGATTAATGCGGGACGACGTTTCATGGAATGTACAGAAAGAGATTTGCGTGGGAGAATGAGGAGGGAGTTTTTGCCTGGGGGAGGAGAGAAAGGCGGGAGGAGACGAGCGAGGTATGTAATCCATTATTACTGATCGTTTGTTCCTCCTGAGAAGTGGAGGAACGGAGCTCCGTTTGTCTCATTTAATTCTCGGCCTATGTTTTACTTTCCTTTTCCACAGGGTTCCAGTGTCCTCGCATTCAAATGTTTGTAAGGAAACGAAAGCAAGCAAGCTCAAGGAGCACACGATGTCTACAGTCTGTCATTTTTCCATCAGATACGACCATCATGCCGCTTCCCTGAAGGTTTAGATCTCCGCATCGTTGCTCTTATTTTACTCTTGTCATCGCTTTTATAGCCAGGAAATTTCGCTTTCTTAGCTAAATTGGCCACTTATTGTCAGGGCCGGGACCGGGATCACTTTCAAACGGATACGTCATCACATACCAAGATCTCAGACGAGTTAAGAACAGATTGATTGATCCATCTTGGCTTAACTTCGTTTTCCTCTTTTCCTTTCAGCGCAATCGACGTCTTGTCTCGTCAAAAACTTTAAGCAGTAGTTTGAGGTGAACTCATCATTGTTTGTCGTCTCGCACCAGATCCATCTTTCACAGCAATCCCCTCGGCCACCTCACACCGCATCCCCCGTAAGTGATTGGAATTTCCCACCAGCTGTGTGCATATAATGGCACGAATTTTTTCCTTCAGGGGGTCCATGCCACACCAAAGCGCTGTCCTGTTCCATCTTTGTTTCTGCCGGTGCTGCTTCTCGAAACACAAAGCTAAGTAACCGACGGTGATCTTGTTACGCTAAAAAGCAATAATTGGCCACAGGACGTCGGCTGGCTGTGGATGTTTCTCGGTACTCTCTAGTATCCATCGTGCTGCACTTGGGGGGAGACATACGTATACAGCAACGTATAGTGTAAGTGCGTCCTTTAATCTCTTCTACCCCCAATGACTAGGAGAAATGACTAATGCCCCGAGATAATGTTTGTTTGTTTCGCAGTTGCCGTGGAAGTCCTCGTTGATTGATTGAGTCCCTCGCTCACGACGGAACGGGAAAGTCCCATTCAAGGAAAGCGACTGTAAAGACATGTGGGTACTCCTGCGGACCTCCACTTTATGCTGCTTCTTTTCCCAGTCGGGAAGGCGAGCGTGTTTCTTTGTTTTCTCAAGTCCGTGCAAATATATTCTCTAGAATCTCACGCTTCCTTTTCCTGTGCAGCCCCTCTAGAGCTATCCTAGAAAGCGAGAAGAAGCGAGAAGAAGCGAGACCTTTGCTTCGTGGAGCAAGCAATGGGCGATGGGTGGATAGAGACATCGATCCAATCAATATCGCGAGAAGGAATGGCGCATCTCTTCTTGTTCTTCTTCCACAGGAGGAAAAGAGGGGACGTAGCAAGAAAAAGGAAGAAAAGCGGGAGACAGGGTGGTGATTGCGATCATCCGATATGAAATCGTCCTGTGGGACAAAGAGGCAGCGCAAGGGGAGGTTCCCAAACATGGACAATTTTTGTCGTTCCAGCGCACGACCGATGCTGCGCATTATTTCGCGGCCACCAACAACACATATAACTAGATATGCTTCAAAGAACTCAGCAAGGCAAGGAGCCCCCCGCGGGGAGGAAAGGAATAGCAAGGACTTGTTACTCGCAGTACGGGGGAGGGTACGGACGTGGATCCTGGGGGGATAATTGGGGAGCTTTAAAAGATTGGAAAGAGCGCAGCACTAGTGTCACACCGGCATATCAGTGTTGGGTAGTGGGAAATCTTGGACGCGGAATTAGGTCACGTGCTCGATCGCGGCCGTTGGCAGTCGGCGGCGGAGATCGGCCCACTTGGTGGCCTGCCCGCCGTCGGTGCTGGGGGGCCATCCGACGGGCGTGGTCGAACTACTTTTCTGTCGTGGACTGCGAGAAAAATGTAGGGTTTGCGACGAAGGAAGCGACAGAGGGGAGGGAGAAAGATCGATGCGGCCGCGGCGGGGAGGGCGGGGAATGCGTAGCTGAAAGCTCCCATCGGATCGCTCTTCTTGCGGGGAATTCGGGTATGTTTTGGCGTTGCGCTCGCTCTCTCAGGCAAGAAATCTCGGTGTCTAGGGTCTTTGTCGCCAGGAATTGGCTCCATGCACGTAGATCTCGCGGGCAAGCACGGCATGGAGTTGGCGATCCGGCAGCAGCAGCGCGGCAGCCGCGATCAGTGAGAATTTCCCCTCCGGGAGGGGGGCCGGGAGAGCGTTTTCTCTTTGATCAATGGACGCTAGCCATCCCGCAGTGTATCCTGTAGGAGTGCCTCCAACAGCCGTCGATCCACCTCCACGAGTGCGCATGAAGGACTACGAGGGAATGCCCAGTACTTTGGGTGGCCTTGTGCTGCGATCTGGCCAGTTTGCTTGCGCAGTCACGGCCTTGAGCATCATGATCTCCATTCCAGATTTCTCGTCGGTCACAGCCTTCTGGTGAGAGAAAGCTCTTTAAGTTTTTGTTTTATGCCTTCCTTGTTCTAAGTGCTGGTCTTTTCTTCCTTTTTGGTTGACAGCTATCTAGTCGCAGCAATGGCATTGCAATTGTTGTGGAGCGTGAGCCTCGCAGTCGTGGACGGATACGCTCTACTTTTGAGAAGAACTCTCCACAATCCAGTGCTTTTGAGCCTTCTTGTTATTGGAGACTGGGTAAGCAAATGGAAAATTAGAATCTTTTCATGAGATTGCTTTTTGCGACGATTTGGCAGGTCACCTCCACCCTCAGTCTCGCAGCTGCGTGCTCCTCGGCCGGTATCACTGTTTTGATCGACAGCGATCTTGCACAGTGCGCTCACAATCACTGTGGAAGGTATGAAGCAGCGGTGGCCATGGCATTTTTGACTTGGTTCTTGGTCTCGCTCTCGTTCTTCTTTTCGTTTTGGTTGCTCGCAACAAGGTAGAGACAAACGCAAAAAAAGGACTAAAAAAGAGAGAGTGAGAGAGAGAGAGAGAGAGAGAGAACTCAAAGTTGGCACTCGATGTAAAGACCAGACCACAAAGTGTAAATTGGCTTTTTGTCAAGTAGAAAAGATTATCCTAACGAAACTTTGAGAACACATTAGCTTGCCGTCTTGTTTGTCCGGAGGACTTCTGCATACAAGAACGAGCTGGTTTTTCCATCGATCATGAGCTCAAGACGCCAATGCTCTCGTCTTTGAGCTATGGAACCTACACGTCTCAACTGTAAGTTCTTATAAAAATGACTCAAATGGTTTTGTCTACCCTGTAGCCCAAAAAGGTAAATATATCTTCTAATCAGTAAAGGATTAATATTTTACTATATTATATTCCTATTTTAAAAATAAATAGCTAGTAAGTTATAATATAAAAATAAAAAATTAATCAACAATTGAAATTTTTTATTTTAGAGTAGGTTAAGATTTATATAATTCTTTGTCTTTCTTTGCACCAATAATTCTTTGCAACAAATCTTAGGGTCTGACTAAACTAAATCATAAAGAATATATTATTATATTACCATTGATTTCATAACTTTGTATTCTTGGGATACTTTATCATTGCCTAAAACGATGAAGTTAATAAATCTGTGATAATATAGTAGATCACATGATGTTTTCAAAAAATAATGGAGTTATATAATTATCAATTTGAATGGATGACCATATCTCAATTAGCTGTTCTTCTATTAGTATTCAAATACACTGATGTGTTTCTTTTTTATTTAATTTCAGTTCATAATACAATTTTGTTTTTTATTCTTTTATTGAAGTATCTACAAAGGTGAAGTAGATTAAATTAAGAGTATTTAGCATTCTGGTGATTTTATATAAAAATCTTAGTTGGGTAAAAGTGTTCTACACAACAAGTAGAACTCTATCTCAAATATTAAATTGAAAGTCTGCATATTGTTATAAGCTTGGTAAGGTTTAATCTCCAAGTTGATTCAATGACTCAACTTCAATTTCTCTTAAAATTTTATTTAGCTCTTTTGTAGCAATATGAAAAATTATATATAACAAGGAATAAATACCTAAAATATTAATAGCATCTGAGATTTAGGTCAAATGTTAATTTGGAATTAATTTCCCTCACTTATCAATCTTAGTAAAGAATCAATTTCTTAACAGTAGTGGTATGATCACAATACAAAAGCTCACACTTAGCTCTATAACTCTAGCTTCTTCTCAAGAAGAGATTGAGTCAAGTTCTTTTAATGAAATCTTTGAAGGGAGGATGTACATGTAAATGCTTTAAATGAAATATCAACTTATTCAACACCATAACAAATTTTTTAGCTGATTTTAAAGATTATACATATATGTGCATTAAGCATGGAGCATTTGGAGAAATCAATAAATCTAATAGATACATTTCTAGGTAATGAATTTTATGCTTTTTTATTTTTTATACATGTCTAATATAAATTTGTGACATGTTGTTCCAGACAACCATTGTTACATGCAAAAAAGGTTTTACACTCTATAATAGCTTTAAAATATAGATAAGAGCTACTATCTACCTTTCATTCTTGAAACTAAGTTAATATAAAATATAAGAAAAGTAAAAAAAAAGCATTTTATTGCTGTTGCAAATACTTCATAAATTAGTCATTATTTTTCATCCAAACTCACTGATAATTTGTACTGAAAATGTGGATATCTTAACTTGAAACTCTTTGGCATATTGTTAGGATTTTTTATAATTTTATAAAAAGAGCAATCCACTTCAAATTTCTTTACTAAATACCTTTTTATGTAATTTAGTAAGATATTTGTAAGTTACTAAATTTTCCATTTTATTTTAGTCACTTAACTATGCTTTTAACCATTTGGAAGAGTCTTACTTACAACCTCTATAAATCCTCATCCCGACTTGGTTATTCCTCAAATATGTTCTCACAATGCACTAACTTCACATTTGGTCCAAACTCTTTATATGTTAGGTCTCATTTTGGATATCAAAGGTACCTCTAATATACTAGCCTTTTATACTAAAGTTATCTCTGTTCTCAATATCACATTAATAGTCTAAAACCATTGGTACTACAATTTTATCTTTCCAAAACTAAACCACCCATGCATGAGTGGTCTTTCTATGACCACACCTTAGCATCCTTAAAATGCCCTAAGACATAAAGAACACCATCCCTTAATATCCCTTCTTTAATCCCTACTAAGTATTTTTTACCCATGGTAGTGTTCACCAATACCACTAGTGGTTTAAGCCTTAGGAGCCCATCCACTAAGTCTCATTAACTTATAGGACTTCCTTATTATGTAACCATACCCTTGATCACCAAACAAAAGGACCACTCCTTTTCCTTTTCACAATTCAAAATTTTGGAATGATATTTTAAAATATTGTGGCCCAAAGTGAGTCTCATAGATACTCCCCCCACCTTCCATTACTAGGATACCTCAACCATGTGGCTAAAGTGAAGCTTCAATAAGCTATATAAGGTATTTAAATAAGTAGTGCCACCCATATCTAGATTGGGAGTATTGACCATTCAATCTCCTAAAGGAGTTAGAATCAACTCTTAAACACTTCACTCAGTCACTTTATATATCCATCTATATTCATTTTAACTTTGGACTCTTTAATGTTCTATCATCACTTAACATATAAGTATAGTTTTCTTTAGTCACATTAGCCTTTCTTGGCTAAACTGGTTCTATTGGAGTCCTCCCTCTATTATCTTATAATGACTTATTAAACCCTTTAGAGTCTGGGAGATGATTGTTTTGGGCTTTTACTCTTGGACTCAAACTTAGATTTGGACTTGGTTATAATCTCAGTTTTGGTCTTAGTTTTGGTCTCAATCTCAGTTTCAAACTCCATCTTGGATTCCATCTTAGGCTTCACCTCAGACTCCATTTTAGGCTCCATCTTAGACTCTATCTTAAACTCCTTCTTAGACTTCTTAGACTCCTTCTCAGACTCTATCTCAAACTTTTTCTTGGTCTCAATCTTGGAAGTAGATACTTCCAAGTGTTACAACATTCACCATGTGTTGATCATTCTTTTGTCCCTTTTTGAGACTCATTTACCAATTGCTTCATATTTATTCCTCAAACACTTCTTTGAAAGTTCCACTCCTGCTCTTGACTTTTTAAGTTTGAGCTTTTAATCCAAATATGTTACACTTGTTGGACTTTTACCTTGGTTATTACTTCATTGATCACTTTCAACTCTACTTTAGGACTTAGGTAAATGAATTAAGTAATAAATTGAGTTAGTTATGTTCTAAATAAGATTGTTTAGTAAGGGTTGAGTTTTGAGCTTTTTCTTGAAAAGTGATTCAATTGTGGACTATATTAACTTCTCAAGAGTAAGAGTTAGTGATCAATATTGGAATGTTTAAATTCTTGTTGGATTTGAGTTGGGATATATCGATCATTAATGATTATTTCTTGTACTTATTATGAAGTAAGTTACGTTTTGTTATTAAAAATGGATTCATAGAGGATCAGTTTGATGATCACTTATTGAGCATAGTTTCATTGTGCTTAACTTTTAGATTGATGCAAACATGCTCATTATTAGCTTTGCATTATGAAGTGTAGTTTATGGATGTGTTAAAGAGGATATTATAGGTTGTATCATGATTTCTTTTTTAGTATTGAAATTAATTTATGCAAGACTCGTAATCATTGTTAAGTGGGACTTGGCTATAGGCTTCTTCAAGCTTTTGGTTCTTTGAGTTTTAGACTCATTGTTCCATTTATTATAAATTATTAAGGAAGGCATTTTGGCTCATTAGCTTTGATGTTGAAGTTAGATTTTGTATTTGGCAATTATTGATGATGATTGACTATCATCTAGGATAGTTAATTATCCTTGTCAGAGGTTTTGCTTAATTATTGTTGATTTAGAATGATTTGTCGTTCTTCGGGATGGTGGATTCTTTCTTTAACAATGATTATGCATATTTTTATTGATAGGATGATTGATGATCTTTCATTCTCTTTGATAACTTATGGCTTTTTGCATTACTACAAAGTTTTGTAGTTTGCTTTGGATTGGTCTCTTAGGTTTGAGACATCAGTAAGATCTTGCCAATGCTTGCATAAACAACTTAAATTCTTTCATATTGTTGACTGGGATTTATTTAGGTTGGCTAGTATAATAGTTAACATGAATGAGTGTTTGTTGGTCTTACCACATTCATTTTGTTTTGTTAATTATTGTTATAGTTGGTTTTGATAGATTGAATGTTATTTCCTTTGGATAATACATTCGTGAGCATTTTGCTTACCAATCAATGATACTTTGTGTTCTTTGAATTATCTTTGGTAAGTTGTTTAACATACTGTTTGCAATCATTAATAGTTGAGTTTTATCATTAAGTTTTCTTAATGATCTACTTGCTATTGAATTTTATTAGATGATGAATCTTATGTTTTCCAATTATAATGATCTTAGTAGTTCTTGTACTTTAATATATGGTTTATTGAATAATAATTTAATTGGAATACTTTTGTGTTCTAATCTAAGATTTATTCACTAATACTTAAGCCTCTAAAATATTATTGTCTATGACTTTGATATTGTCCATCTGTTAATCTTTGGGTTTGGGACAGTATAAGTAAACTAGCTTTGGCACCTTGTGTGCGTCATGAAATTTATTGGTCATATCACCTACCTTTCTCTCAATGTTTTTTATTTTCATATTAAAAGGGCATGACCGTCTAAACAACTCTAACTGCCTATTTATAATAATCTATCTAAACCCTACCAATAGGTTTGGTTTCTTTGCTCATAAGGGTTAGGGCCTTTGACTTCTCTCTTTATGTCCCTACAGGTAGGGGTGTATCACACTTTTGTAAGTTAGGTGACACCCAAAGTAACAAAGGTGGCTAACTCTGTTGATTATTTCTTTATTAGCGATGGTTGGAAGGTATTTGAGTTGGTAGCACCTTTATGTTAGAGGAAGAGATTACCTCATAACTCATTTAAGTTTGTGCATTTCTCATAAAATTGTGAACACCATAAACTTTTTTTGGAGTTGTTTCCTTTGTAGTGTTTTAGACTAGAGTATGTATCGACGAGGATGTTGATCTTCTCTAAGGGGTGGAGAATGTCACAAATGTGACTGTTAATATC